TTTCGTATGTAAATTTTGTAAGTTCTTTTAAATTTATTTATTCATAATTCATATTTTTATTATTCATTAACTAATAATTTTATATATATTAATAAGAAGATGAAATTACTATTAGTATTCTAATATTAAGATTACAAAATATATATTTCACTTCCTCTTTCCTACTAATCATCAAACTTTCTTTCATTATTCCCTCTTTAACTAATAATCAATTAAGAAGATATCATCAATACACATGTATAAAAGCGTTGATTCATTCTTTTTATCAAGTTAAGATAAATACAAACTACAAGTAGATTTATTCTTCATTCATAATCCCAATTGTATTATGAAATGAACTACTTGTATTTGTCTTTTGTATTTCTCTTATTTTAATAAATAGAATGGGTGAAAGTTTTTTTTTAAAATATTTTAGCTACTATTGAAAGGTAAACAATGGATCACTTTTTGGTTTTAATTTATTGTTATTATTATTGTTTTTAATTATAAAAATACTTTTCTATAAATAAAGAAGACTAATGAGGGTGTGGACAATACCTAATATATTAAATATACAGTGTGTTAATTTTTAAAAAAAAATCCAGAATCACATAATAGAAATTATATCAGAGAATCAAAAGATCTTAAATTACCACAAATAAAATTTTGAAGCATATTATTATTATATAGGTTTTAGAGCAATCATTAAAAAATTCCACATCAAAAAAAATTTTTTTTTTAATTGATAAAGTTCTAAAAAATCTGGAAGCATGGGATTTTATATGTATAATCTTCAGTGCTACAAACTGATAATTTTTTGTGATTAATGCATTTGGGCTGTGTAATGATTCTTGGTAGTGCTCAACAATTTAGTGAAGTTTTAAAAAATTTTTTCTTAAAACTTTATATATACTGTATGTGACTTTTAAGTCATTTATAGTTTTTAGATGGTTTTTTAATGTATGGCCAATCTGAATCTGCTCTATTCCTGATTGTGTATATTTAATTTCTGTAGTAGCATCAAATCATATTCTAGTATTATTATTGATTACAAAGATGTCACAATGCCTTCGATTGTACTTGCCAACTTTTTGTCTAGATCAATACTTATTCCATTCTATTTTTTTCTTTGGTTATTTAATTTAACTTTCACAACTCAACTTTGACTCCAAAATTTTCCCCCTGTAAAAAATGACACTCCATAAAAATTCAGTTTATTCATAAAAGCAAGCAATTGGCAAATGAGCAATCTGGATTTTTTCCATGATGTCATTTATAGTAGCTTGTAAGTGTGGAATTGAAACGGAAATGTGAGATAATTAATTAACTGATAATAAAAATAGCCCTTTTATACTGATAACTGATAAAAATAATTTTTTATATATATGAGATACTTTTCTAGGTATATAAGAAAATTATCGAAATTTAATCCGGTTCTCTCGATCAATGATTTGATGGGAGTAATATGTGTTATATATATTAAATGTGCTATGAGACAGAGGTCCATAAAATAAAAAATAAATAAGAGATTTTGTGAACACGGAGACATGTAAATTGAAGATTAAGGGGAAATTTAAGTATTTTTAACTTCAAATTAAAAATGCCCAATTTTTGTACAAGTGGTAGAAAAAAGTACATTCGTACATTTTTGCAAACAATTAGTTTTTTTTTAGAGATGTTAAATTGCTCATTAGTTTAGTTTAGGTTCGGCTCAACCCAGTTTTAGAGTTCAAGCAGATTAAACTTTTTTAAAAAACAGATTTTTGACAACCATAGTTTATGCGAATGTTGCATTTGGATGCTTTTGCCTAAAATCCCACTTAATTCCAGTTTCTTTGAGACAAAGCTCACAATTGACAAATTTCGAATCATCATCTTGTGACATATTTTCATTTAGCATAATATTATCATTTGTGATGTTTGTATAATTATCAATATAAAAACTACATTGGTATTATATTTTAGAATTTGTTCTTCAGTCATGTTGTAATTTATTAAAACAAAAATTATCATCATTATTTTGGGACTAATAGACTCAAATTCATTAATTATCTAAAAAACATAGATAATAATTTTATAGTTCAAGTGGTTGGCTATGTATATAAAATTTCTTTGTTGATTGTTTTTGAATAAAAATTTTTTTAAATCTAGAAACAGAAAAATTTATATACAATTTGGGTAATTAATGAACAAATTTAGAGGAATTATATAAGAAATTTTCTTGAGCATGTGCTTCAAACATACTCTGCCGATAAATCATACTATTTATCCTTAAAGTATAATTGAAAGCGCGTTTCCAACAGATATTAAAAATATTAATTGAATTTTGTATTCAAACTCAGTTATGATCCAAAGCAAATTAGCATCCCTAATTTTAAGTATCTCTTGTAAAAAATAAGCAGGAAATGAGTAGAAATAAGTATCTAACCTTTTAGTAGGGAAGAGCATAGCCAAAATATGATTTATTGGATCTTGGCCAAAAAATTTTAAACTGATAAATAAAATTTTTATTTTGATAAATAAGAAATAGTGGAAGAAATCTCTGCTCCGCCCAGAAATCATCGTCGAATTTAATAGGCCAATTTTAATGATATCGGATGTTACAAAAGTTATCAATTGAAGAGTATCTACTTTGTTTGGCGGGATCTAAAAAAAGTATTTTGAGGAAAAAGGAAATAGACTGCGATTAAATTATATTCCATTTATTGTTACTATGAAAGTAAATAATAAGCGTATAGAGGAACAGAATTTGCAGAATAGTTTATATACAAACTTGTTCGTTAATATTAGGTATTAGTGAATTGTGTGATCGTTTTGTCTCAAATACTGTCATTTCATTGTTTTATTGGGTCTGGGTCTGCGTCAATTTGAAATTCACGCGCGTGAAATTCAAATTAACCAATCAGAATTTCATAGCATAATGGACACTCATTTTGTGCAACAGTCATTTAGTCAGGCGGTTACACAGAGCCCGTTGCTTCTGAAACTTCACTAGAATATAGCT